ATGATGGTATAATTAAAAAAAATAAGATGTTTATATTTTGAAAATAAAAATAGAAATGAAAGGACTTTTAGAACCACTGATTGCCTGAAGATTCTACCAACCTCTCTAATATTATCAAAGACCAGGATGGCAAGTAAGAGTCATTAAATTTTGGGACCAGCAGTTGGCATAACGGCAGTGTTGCTGGACTCCCATGCAGTCAACAGCGGTTCGAGTCCCAGACTCAGTGGCTTAAACTCACGCTGGGCATGTGTGCGCGTGTGCCCAAGATCCCAAGAGGAAAATGGAGGAAAAGGGATTGTGGTGTGGCCATCTCTCCTTGGGGGTTATTTCTAGGTTTCTGTCTCTCTCTCTCTGGCGAGAGTGTGCACCCTATAGCAAAAACCTCTCCAAAAAAAGTCATTTTACAAAGACATTCTTTGAACTATACTTTAACTAGGAAAAAATTAAATAACCACATAAGTAACCATATGATTTTCTCTTTTGGAATAGGTAAGTCAACTATGTAAAAATAGTGTAATTTACTTTGTTTCTGTCCTTTTGTAATTTTCATTTTTTCTTTAATCTTTTTGTGTGTGAGCCACAAGTTCTAAAAAGCTACTGAAAACACCTTAATGCATGTCTCATCCTGCAAGCTATCAGCAGATTTAGTGCTAGTTTCAGAAATAAACCAAATTTATATATGCAAGGTAAGCCTAATTAGTTAAGCTCACAAAAAATGTAATATCTGAGTTTTAGAACCTAATGTGCTCAAGAAAGTATTTGTGCTTTTAAATTAGGAGAACAGCTCTGTATTTAATTAGTCCTCATTTGAGTATGTAATCATTTTAATTTATTTGCACAAACATAGGACATTGTGCTCCATCAGCAGATAATGTTCTTCATTAACAATAGTAAGAACTTTGTGCATAAGGGCAGAAAAAATATTTCCACTTGTAATACAAAACCAAGACTGCTTCCTACCAAGATTTCATTCTTCTGTTCTATGGTCACTATGTATATATACCTATATATTTGTTAATAATAATGCAATGTACTTTTAACTAAGTACTCTGCCAATCCCTAGAAATCAACATTTTAAATAATTAATGTTTCATTTTACTTACTACCCAGTAACGAAATGGATATTTATTGATGAACAAAATAACTGAAAGTCAAGTAATAACGATGTACTACAAGGCAAACTTCAATAATTTGACTGGTGTGATTAATTATAAAAAAAAAAAAACTTTCTTCATTGGTGGTGAAAAATGACAGCCTAGATTGTAGAGAGGAGTGACAACAGGTTTTATTTAGGCTGTTTGAAAGTGAACGCTATATGCTTAACAAGTTAAGATATTCTTATCTATTCATTAAAGTATATGAACTAATTCTTCCTTAAGGCATTTCCAATAAACTTTGATATCTTGTTATTGCTATTCTTTCCCCAAATCTTAAATACACTCTAAAAAGAAAAAAAGTCTTGTTAATGCATTTGCTATAACTATGTTTTTATTTTTTCCATCAGGGGAGAGATTTTTGCTATAGGGCGTGTGCACTCACCAGAGAGAGAAGCAGAAAGCAAGAAATCAACCCTCAGGGGGGATGGCCACACCACAATCCCTTCTCCTCCATTCTTCTCTCAAGATCATGGGCACCTGTTGTGAGTTCTAAGCCACCAGGCGAGGAACTCAAACTACATGGAAGCCCAATGATGTAACCATTACACCATCTGCTGGTTCCTGCTACAACTATCTTTCTAAAACAAGTTCTTATGTCTACCTGATTCTAAATGTTTCATCCCTAACGTATGTATTTTGAAACAAGCATACCATTTTATGTGACTAGATGGTCTGAGAAAAAAATTTAAGTTTTTATTTCCAAATAAACTAAATTTATAAAAACTGAGATCATTCTATAACTAGAAGCTGGAATTTGACACCACAAAATGAGTTAGTGGATAGAGAACAGATTTAACTCAGGGCATTATCTGGTGCATTATTATTTAGGCAGCTGGTGCTAAGTAGCACTTTGAAGAAAGGCACAATGCTACTCTTCCATAAGCACACTTCATAGTATGATCTGTACCATGGGAGCTGCTATGTTGTTTTGAAAATGTTTGGCACTACTTTATGGAAGGTTCAACACTTCTATATATGTTTTATCCCCTCTCTGGGCAAGGTGAGCAACTTGTCTGAGTCACTGAACCAGATCTGGTTTATGACAGCAGGCAGATCTCCAAATGTGGTCTTGATTTTCTATGATTCTCCAAGATTAAATCAGAGTAAACTATAGAATAAGATTGTGACTTCTTTAGATCTCTTTTTGTCCAAAGTTCTAAATTCTTCCATTTACATGGAAAGGAAAAAAATGTCAGAACAGAAAGTCTCCTTTTATTGGTAGAGAATAAACACTGTAAACATATTTGCATTAATTACAACTTTAGAGACAATGGCTCTTACTTAGCTTTGGAGCACATCAGAGAGAACAATGCCTATTAAAAGTTTAAAAAATAGGGCAAGCCTATGGCCAGGTGGTTAAAGTGGCTGAATCCTATCTGGTCAACCATGCGGTCGAATCCTGGATCTACATGCTTGAGAAACATGCCAGGCACATATGCATGTATACCCAAAATTCCCAAGAAGAGAAAAGAGATGGAGAAAAAAATACAGTGTAACCATTCCCCATGGGGGTGCTTTCTAGCTTTCCCTTTCCCTCCCCCTTTTTTTCTCTCTTGTGAACGTCCTCTGGCGAAAAAAAGAAAAAGTTAAAAATACAAACTTGCAAAATACCAAATGCACAGTTCTTAAATCTTACCAGAAATCGTCTTATGCCTTGAAAAAAACTCCTCCTTCATTAAATGGCCAATATTCAAGGACACCATTTCTTTTTTAAAATAATTTTAAAATTTTGTATTGGGCAGTTATGTTCACCAGGGAGAGAAAGAGAGAAAGAGAATGGAGGTGAGAAAGCACCCCCAGCGGGTTGGTCATGCCACAATCCCTTTTCCTCCATTGTCCTCTTGGTATTTTGACATGAGCACACTTATGTCCAGCATGTTTTTCAAGCCACTGTGTCCAAGACTCTAATTCCCAGTCAGCCATGAAAGAACCACTGTCTTAACCACTATGCCACAGGTTTCCCCAGATAAGTATTTCAAGATTTATAAAACTGCATTATCTGCATAGCTATATCTGAAGGGAAAAAAAAAACAAAAAAAACCTATTTTTACAGGTCTAGTTACATCACTCTTGAAAACATTCACTAGTAAACACAATAGCATATCGCAAAGTCATAAATAAGCATTTACACCATTTATAAAATCAACAACATGTCCTTGGCATCCATTCATGCATAAATAACACATTAGTGTGAATAAACTTGCCAGTCCATTCACTGAATATGAGATCTGGAGTGATATATATCATGTGTCAACTTGTCACCCTCATAACGTTTTGGTTACTCAGTAACAATCACTGGGTTAGTTTTTCATCTATGCTGAGCATACTCCTAGTATTTAAAGGTACTTGTAAGCATTAAGTATAAAATGGGCACTAAAGCAAGACAATACTCTACCTGGTACTTACTTGAAGAGAAACATCTATTCCAGTGGTAGGAAAACAAACAAAAAAAATTGCCATATAGTAAATTTTGAGTACTTTTGTTGAGTCTTATAACATAAATAGGGCTACACATACTGTATTTTCTATTAAGGAGAATTTTATGAGGGAAATTTTGGCTATACTTCGCTACATAACCAGGAAAAAAAGAATTAAATTCTTACATCAAACACAACTCTACTGCTATATAGGTACGTTGATAACACAGCAGTTAAATACAAAATGGTTTTGCACCTTATGACTTCGGAGCTAAATAAAAGACAAAAACTACAAAATTCTCTACAACAACAATTTAAACTAAAAATTACTTTGCCAGAGGATGGAGGAGGCAAAAAAACGAGAAAACAATTTGATATGTTTGAGGAATTTCACTGAAGATTAAGTCTTAAGTCTAACCAAGAGTGAAACAACTTAGTTTCCAAAGCATTATCCACTGTGCTTATTAGAAAGAGCTGAATATTAACCAAAGACACAGTACATTGGCCTTAACAAGAACTATGTGTATATATAAAATGATTTGAGAAAGAAAAAGATACAATCCAATGATTACAATAAAAAATATTATACTAGAAGAATTGGGAAGTTTGAAGGTCTAGCCAAAAATTACTTATTATTGAGCATGTGTCTCCAGAATATTGATAATTAATGAAGACAGACATATTTATATATCAGAGATTAGAAATGATGATCTTCTTATAATAAAAGTTTTATTTATCTCACCTTCTTTTTATGTTTTAACACCTGCTCTAAAATAAAGAATCAAAAATGTCAGTTTGGCATTTTAATATGAAAGTCTCTTAAAAAAGGCATTTTCCTCTCTATAATGTGCCTTTGTCATAACTATAACTATGTTTTGTTTATAATCAGAGGCATTTCCTCTAGAAAAAGCTAATGATCAGGATACAGTATTTTTCCAGATTCTCTAGAAAGAGAACATGACAACATAAATAAACTTAATACAAGGAAATAATGCTGTAACTCAAAGTAAATTGCTTCTTATTTAACCCTTTCCCCCCTAGTTCTATACCATATGACTTCTATTCTTAAAGCTTGGGTAAAATTGGAAGTCAAAATCAGACCCTAAAGAAAATGAGAAAGAGAAAAATGGTTTAGTAAAAGTAAACTCAACAACGCAGTTAAAATTAATTGGGAAAATTTTAATTAGTAACCATCAAATGTACTTTACATTGAGAACTACAATACCGAAATTGTGAAATTTTAAGTATTTTTCTCAAAAAAAAGTTAGTGATTTTCTTTCTCCTGGGAAGTATGGAGACCCAACTATGAGCATTAATGTAGTCAGTACAGGTCACTATGCTTTAGTTAACACCAACAGCCAAACGGACATTCATATTTCATGTCTACAAATGTAGACTGTGAACTTCTTGTACCTCCCAATTATGACTAGTTTTTAAGAAAGATTATCAGCTTTGTGGTTGGTCTCACACAGTTGGTAAAAATCTATTAAAAAACATCATAATATAATTTGCAAAGAAAAAATCTGTTTTTCAAAGGCTGCAGGAATAGGAAAGAAATAGCATTTCTTATCTGTATAAACAGAAATACTTAAAGCTAATTACACTTCAGATAAATCCAATATAGTATTCAAAAGTTCTATAAAAATGAACAAAAGATACATGTTTACTTCCACTGTTCCGAGGGTCAAATGTATATCTGCATGAGAGTTGCACTGCAGCAGTTTGCTGGTCCTATTTAAGAGTTCAAGGTCCTTTTGTGTATGTCCACATCCCAGATAAATGCAGTTCAAAATACAGAAATTAGGGCAAAGACTCCATATAACAAAGCACAAGGATATGCTACTAAAAGCTGCTGTCCTTCCATGGCTAATGCAGAAATAAAGATTTTGGAAGCAAAAAACCTACCCCATCCAATAATCCCAGCAGTGAGAATGATTCCTAACATTCCTTGTAAAGAAAATATCACTGCAAAACTGGAAAGTAGGATCATGGGAAGAAGACAGTATAGTTATGTAACAATTCTACAATAACCACTCTACAGAAAAGCATTTTAAATCCACATGTAGGCCTGTGCAGAAGTAATCAGAATTTCTTTTTTCAAATGCTAAAATGTGCCTCACATTGAATTCAATGATGCTGAATCATTTCATTTGAGAAAAGGCTCATTTTAACACTATATTTTGCTTTTTTAAAAATACAAGATTTCTCAGCTTTAGCACTATTACTGTGTGGATATGTCTTTATTGTCAGGGATGCTTTGTGTATTTTGAGGATATTCAGCAGCATCCCTGGTCTCTACCAATAAGATACCAGTAGCACTCCTGCCTCCTACATTTGTAGCACCATTTTGCCTTCAGACATTGCCAAATGTCCCAGTTGAGAAGCAATGTTTCAGTAGAAAAAAACGACTTCAGTAAAATTCAACTATAAGTATGTCAACTCTTAAATGAGAAGTATGAAGCAGTTTCTGCAATGAAAATATGAAGTACTTGTATCCAAAACAGGCAGATACAAAGAAACTATTTTGCCAAATTTCTTCTATCAGACAAATAGTTGACACACACTCTTCTCCTAAACCTCCATCTTAACTAAGTGTAACAAAATCTAATCACTGGTAGTGTGTAAGACTGACCACAAGGAGGAACTTGAACTGTTGAAAGAGACTGTCCATGAGGAGGAACACTATCAACAACAATTTACTCCTTTCTTTTTAACCTAACCTAAAATATCATTTAAAAATTAGGGACCAGCAGTTAGCGTAATGGCTATGTCGCTGGACTCCCATGTAGAAGACCGCGGTTCACATCCCGGATCTGGTGGCTTAAAACTCACACCGGGCACGTGTGTATGTGTGCCCAAGATCCCAAGAGGAGAATGGAGGAGAAGGGATTGCGGCGTGGCCATTCCCCCTGGGGGGTGATTTCTCGCTTTCTGTCTCTCTGTCTCTGTCTGGCGAGCGCACACGCCTTATAGCAAACCCCCTGCCCCCCCAAAAAAAAGTAAAAAGAGGACCAGCAGTTAGCGTAATGGCTATGTCGCTGGACTCCCACGTAGTAGACCGCGGTTCGAGTCCCGGACCCGGTGGCTTGAACTCACGCCGGGCGTGTGTGCGTGCGTGCCCAAGATCCCGAGAGGAGAGTGGAGGAGAAGGGATTGCGGCGTGGCCATCCCCCCTGGGGGGTGATTTCTCGCTTTCTGTCTCTCTGTCTCTGTCTGTCTGGCGAGCGCACACGCCTTATAGCAAACTCCCCTTCCCCCCAAAAAAAAGTAAAAAGAAAAAAAATTATATATACAATATTTAAAGCTGCTTATAAGAATATCAGAGAACATGGTAGGCTAGTAATAGCTTCTTGTCATAAAGGCTACTTCATTTTCAGTTAAAAAGGTGCCAAATAAAAGCGTGCATTTATTATTTGGATACTTGGCAAATGCCCAATGGCTTCAAGAAATTTGATATAAAAATATCAGAGGATATTCTAGTAACTTGAACTTCTCTATGTAATATTTAAGTTAACAATCACCACTGTTCAATTTGTTACCACTATGATACTGGTAAATAACACAAAATCAGTGATTTGATTACAGGTAAAAGTAGAGAATGTATACAAAATTTTAAATGTATTCAAATTTCTACTGTTCTTCACCTAAAAGCGTATAGCACAACTCTTACCTACAAGAGGATGAATTAGTGATTTACCTCAAAATGAAGGTGAGGTGAATTCTGTTACACAAAAATGCTTAAACTTCAAAATAAAATTTAGTACTTACTGTAATGAAAATATCACTGCAAAGCTGGAAAGTAGGATCATGGGAAGAAGACAGTATCCAAGGACACTTGCCACACAACCAAATGAAACACCTGTCATACACATTAAGTTTAATAAACAAAACATTCCTAGACATCCAATTGCACTGATCCCATATACATAGCCAAACTGGATTTTGCCAGCCTATGGGGAGGAAAAAGACTATAGATTAGAAGGGGGGAAAAAGTCATTTTTGGCCTTATTTCATCTAAAATAATACATGTAGAAGATACTCAGTTCACGAGCATCAAAATCTACAGTAAAAGACTAAACAGACTAGTTTTCATATCCTTCTGAACTTGCAGTATGACCTCCCAATACAAGAACATTTGGTTTTCATTTTTCAGTTATTATTTGAGATTGGTATAGAACTGAAGAAACAAAATAATGATAAAATCATCTAAACTGATTTTTTTCTAAAGGCGTTTAAGGAATTATTTTATTTAACTTAATGAATTGATTTATTTTATTTGACCAGAGAGGGACAGAGTGAGGAGAGTGAGAATGAGAGGAAGAAAGTGAGAAAGTAAGCTGCGAGGTCCGGGACTCGAACCGTGGTCAGCCATGTGGGAGTCCAGCGCCTCTAACTACCATGTCATTTGTTGGCACACCCCTAGGTTGATTTTTAATATTTGGTATCACTTGAAAAAACCCAATTCCACCAAAAAGGCCCCAAAGCAGTTAATTCTCATTGGCAATTATAGCTATAATTGTTTAACGGTAAAAATACATTTATCACTTTATATGGACGCTAGAGGAGTTAGGAGAAAGCAAGCCAGGATAAACAAGAAGCCAGGATTCTGTTGGAAGGGGAGGAGAAATGCGAGAGGAATATAATGAAGATTTTTTTCACTCCATTATTAAATAAAGGGAAAAAAAAAAGAATGAATTCTTTGGGGCCAGCAGATGATGTAGCAGTTACATTCCTGGATTCCCACATGGCAGACTGTGGTTTGAGTCCCAGATTTGGTGGCTTGAAACTCATGCCGGGTGCATGTGTGTGCATGTGTGCCCAAGATCCTAAGAGGAGAATGGAGGAGCAGGGACTATGGCATGGTCGTCCCCACTGGAGGGTGATTTCTCACTTTTCCTCACTGTCTCTGCCTCTCTCTCTCTCTCCCCAGCAAGTGCACATGCCCTAAAGCAAAAACCTCTAAAAACAAAACAAGAAAGAAATCTTAGTAATTCTGCTCTTGTGAAAAACATCACTCAACAATCTTAGGACAACAAATATTAACTAAGTTGAGACTAGCTTATCCTTAGGCTATGAAAACAAATACTATATTTAGGTCATACTATCACTTTTACTAACACTAGCCTACAGAGAAGCCTTTAGTAAATTCTTCGTTTATCAGATTTCTGAGATAGAAAATTAATAGCAAGAATGCCTCTAAGGATTATGTTAGTGAAAAATTCCTTGAGATTTCTGTTGGACTATTTATGTGTAAATACTTAAGAGTGTAGAAATCTGAAAATGCTCAGATGAAGTCTTTAATGAATTCATTCCTGAAGTAATTAGTAAAGCTTTACACTTGCATAGTGCTTTAAGTTTTTCAAAATCTTTTCATAAAACTTGTTCTATATTCAAAACAATTTTGTTAGGTCAGCAGCACAAAATTATTATGTACTAGAAGAATCTGAAGGATTAAGTGATTTGAGCAAGAGCAAAGTAGGAGTACTAATCATGGCCACCTCAATCCCATCTTCTATTACATTACCGATCTTGTAATTCACAGGCACAAGATAAAATAAAACAAATGTTAACAGTTATCTTTTCAGCTTTTTATTTCAACATGTCTTAACATTCTTGGAGAGATAAGAGTTAAAAACTAAAACCTTTTGACAATGTTTTAATTCATTAAATGTTAAAGTAATAATATATCAGACTACAATAAAACATTAACCAAGGTCTAGAGATCTAAAAAAATCCAAAATAAAAAAGGGACTATCAATTTCTGAAAAGTAAAAAGAAATTCTGATGAGGGACTAAAGCCACAAATGTTATTACTTTTTGTTTTGTCTCCCTAAATTGTACCCTTTTTTTGAAACAAGTAATGACTTTTTCAGTATGCTATACTATCAATGGAGAAATGATGAACAGGTATTAATTCAAGCAACTGAATACTATTCAGAACACAACCATGACTTGAAGTGTAGTTTAAAAATTGCATTTGAGGGGCTAGACAGTGCTGCAGTAGTAAAAATGTGATGCTCTGAGAGGAATCACAAATGAGAAGGTTCCTCTTTTCAATCTAGAGACCTCCCTGAGTAAGCTGGGCATCTCTCTACCCATGATTCAGGGCAGGATGAAGACTGGGGTTGGATCATGGTATCGGGACACTGTTGGGGGTGCTGGGGGTGCTGTTTCTGTCTCTCTCATTGTCTTGCTCACTCATGGAGTAAACAAATAAACTTAAAAAGAAAAGTCTTTTGGTGACTGAGTTCAGTTATGATAGCACAAAGTATGCTGCTACTTGGCAGGCCATGGCCACATGAAAGACCTGGGTTCAATATGTGGCCCACCCTAAAAAGTGGCCCACCCTAAAAAGTACAGTGTAGTGGTACAAGACTGTAATTCAACTACTCAGGAGGCTGAAGCAGGAAAATTACGACACAATGAGACCCTGTCTAAAAACACTACACACATGTGAACATACACAAAATGGCTTTTGGTAGAACATTTAAAGATTGTTCTTTAATCTCATACTAAAAGCTAAAACTATTAACTTACCAGTAACAATGTGGCTCCAAAGGCAAGGCAAAAAACCATTGGTCCTGCCAAATCGGTTTCATTCATGATGCTGCCATCTACTACTTTTAATGGATGTAACACTGTTAGTGTTTTGTGCCAGATGTGGTCAAAATTGATACCTAATTCTAAGGGGGAAAAAAAAAGTTAATTTGAATTTTTTGATATATCTTTAAGTTACCAGACTCTGTTGGAACAGAAGACAACATGAAATACCCAGCATCAAAAGAGGATCTGGCACTATCAGGTGATATTATTTTAGTGACTCTTCCACACATCTTCATTATTTGTAGTGTTTATCCCACAAATACATAATTTCTAACTTGGTGTTTGAAAGGATATGGATATGATAAAAAAGATACTCATTACGTCTCTTGGCTATGATGGCAATAGCAAGAATATATAGACAGAATTAAAAGTAAGGGGTTCATCACCTGGGCCTATAAGAATATCTGGGGCCTCTAATAAATGATATGCAAAAATAGGTCTCTATGCATACATATGCATTTTTCTGAGGAGATTATTCGCATCTTTCACTAAATTTTCAGAGTATCTGACCCAAAAAATAAATCAATAAAAATTCAGAACTACCACTGTATAGGTTTCAGAATACAATTTAAAAATTGCTATTTTTTTTTCAGTGATGCCACTAGTTTGGTTTATTTTCATGTGGAATAATCAATACCACATTCTAGCCCTTCTTCTACTGATACAATTTAATCCATAATCTAAAATACAAGTCTATGCTCACATACTGACATACCTTTTTATCACTTTATACAGTTTTATTAAAAATTTGGTCCTCTCTGGCCAAATGTGGTTACATATATACTCTGTTCAAAACGAGTTACTTAGTAGAAAACTGTTTTTGGCAAGATTAGTCTTTTAAAAGGAAAAGAAAACTTCTCCAAATTAAGCTTTACTTGAACTCAGTAGCTGGATACTATAGAGTACTACAAAGCATTGAAACCAATCCTACCTTCTAATAAAGGTGGCTCATCCTCAAAGCTGTTTCCATAGACTGGCTGAGGTATAGCTGGAGTATATGCCTGAGTTGGCTGGAAAATCTGCCCAGTATATGGCTGTTGTGGCTGCATCATGTCTGGAGGTACAAACTGGCCTTGCTGTGAGTAGTTGTAGTCAGCATATTGTTTGCTATAAGGTCCTCCACTTCCTCCAGAATCATAGGACTGCTGTGATTGCTCATCGATGCTGTAACTTGTCTGGTAGAAATCCGTCTTTAAGTTATCTAGTTGTAGCCAGCATATTGTCTACAAATCAAAGGAAGTTAAGTTTGTCAAAAGTATTTCAACCCCCTTGGCAATTGCTAGCCCTTAAATTACTAAATTTTTGCTTGAGAGCTACAGAATCTTGTCATGCAACTCCTAGGATACCTACTTTGCCCGTTTTTTTGTTTTTTTTGTTTGTTTGTTTTGTTTTTTAATAAACAGTGGTTGAAATGATTACTAAGATCAAACTGATTATCTGTAACAATACAAGGATATCAAACGCAGAGGCAGTGCTAGGGGAAGCAGCAGCAACTCCAGCAGTGCAGAATAATCCCCAAATTCAGTTTCAGACCCTGAACAGGCCCCGTTGCTATATGTCACAGGGGCAAAGAACTCTAGAAAATAATTTTTAAATGAAGATAATATACAAGAAATACTAGATTACTTTAAACATCCAAACATCTGAATAACTGGTATCTCAGGAGATGAAGAAACTAATAAGGGCATTGAAAAATTTATTCCATGAAATCCTAGAAGAAAATTTTCCAAGCCTAGAGAAACATTCAAACATCCAGAACCATGAAATAAAAATAATAAATTAAAAAAAAATAGAATCAACCCAAGATGATCTTCTCCAAGGCATATACATGATAGCCAGACTGCTCAAAACCACAGACAAAGACAAGATACTAAAATTGACAAGAGAAAAATGTCAAGTTATTTACAAAGATTATGCCATCAGGTTTACACTAGACCTCTAACCATAAACAACAAAAGCAAGGACAGAATGGGGACATATATTCAAAGTGTTACATGAAAAACAATTTAAAACAAGATTACTACATACAAGATTGTCTTTCATATCGAAAGAAGAGATAAACACATTCTCGGATAAAGAAAACCTGAAAGAATTTGCCAACTCAAGATCAGCTATTTAATAAGCTCTGAAGTAAGTGCTATACTAAGTACTAATAGACGCTATACTTGCACTTTACTAGTGATAAAAAAAATAAATAAACTAAAGACAGACAGAAATAAGAGAACATAAAACAACCAAGAAAATGGCCAAATTAATGATAGGGTCAAGTCCAGAAACATCAATAATAATGTTTAATGTTAATGGTTTAAATTCTCCAATCAAGAGACAAAGACTGGTTGAATGGATAGTAAAAAAGAAACCCTCCATTTGTTGCCTACAAGAAATCCCCCTCAGAGATAAAGACATACATAGACTAAAAGTAACGAACTGGAAAAAGATATCCCATGCAAATGGAAACTACAAAAGAGCAGGAGTCGCAATACTTATTTCAGACAAAATAGGCTTTAATGCAAAACTGTAAGAAGAGACAAAGGGCATATATAATAGTAAAAGGGCTAATTATTATTATTTTTTTGGGGGGGAGAGGTTTTCGCTATAGGGCGCCTGTGCTCACCAGACAGACAGAGAGAGACACAGAGATTGAAAGCGAGAAATCACCCCCCAGGGGGGATGGTCACGCCACAATCCCTTCTCCTCCATTCTCCTCTTGGGATCTTAGGCACACACGCATGCACACGCACCCGGCGTGAGTTTTAAGTCACCGGGTCCGGGACGCGAACCACGGTCAACTACGTGGTAGTCCAGCGACATAGCCATTACGCCAACTGCTGGTTCCCTAAAAGGGCTAATTAATCAAGAAGATATGATGCTTATTAATATCTATGTGCCCAATCCAGGACCTCCAAAATATGTGAAGGAAAGACTGTTAGATCTAAAAGGAGAGATAGACTAACACACTAATTGTTGGGAACCTCAACACCCCATTATTTCCTTTACACAGATCAATGAGACAAAAGAGATTCAGGACCTAAATGATACCATAAATCAGATCTACTTGACAAACATCTATAAGAACTTTCCACCCAAAAACCACAAAATACGCATTTTTCACCCCCGTATGGTACTTTCTCGAAGACTAACCACATGATAGTGTACACAACAAGCCTTTACAGAGTCAAAGGCATAGAAATTATGGCCAGCACCTTTCCCAACCATGATGGAATTAAACTTAACATCAATTTCAGGAAAAACCCTTGAAAATACACAAATACATGGAAACTAACCTACATCTGAATGACCTCACAATTACCAAAGAGATTAAGATTGAAATCAAAAGATTCCTGGGAACAAATGATGAGTGCACGAGTTTCCATAATCTACGGAACACTGCAAAAGCTGTCATAAGAAGGAAGTTCACAAAAAAAAAAAAAGTTAGTTGACAGTGCATAAGGAAAAAGTGGCAAATGGACAACCAAACATCATGCCTCAGGGAACTGGAAAAACAGCAACCAAAAACTCAAAAGAAAAAATGCTGGGAGAAAAGAAATAATAAAGATCTGAGCAGAAATAAATAAAATAGAGCATGAACAATACACAAATAAAAAAAATAAATAAAAGCAAAAGCTGGTTCTTTGAAAAGATAAAACAAGATTGACACACCATTAACTAGACTAATTAAGAAGAAGAGAGAAAGGAACCAGATAAATCAAATTCATAATGAAGCAGGCAATATTATAATAGACAATAAAAATACAAAACATCATTAGAGAATACTACGAGTGTCTATATGCCAACAAGCAAGAAAACGTGGATGAGATGGACAAATTCCTGGACACATATGATCTACCAAGATTGACTCAGGAGGACAAAGAAATAATAGAATAGACCCATAACAAGCAATGTGATTGAGTCAATAGTAAATAACCTCCCAATAAAGAAAAGCCCAGGTCCTTATGGTTTTAATTCTGAATTCTACAAAACTTTTAAAGACGGGGTAACCCCCATTCTACTCAAATTATGTCTATAGATCCAAAAGTAAGGAACCCTCTCAAGTTCATATTAGGAAGCCACCATCACCCTCATTCCCAAAACATAAGGATAAGAAGGGAAAACTACAGACCAATCTCTCTGATGAATATAGATGCAAAATTTCTCAACAAGATACTAGCAAATCATATCCAACAACATATTAAAAAGATCTTTCATCATGTGGTTATTCATCACAGCTTTATTCCAGGGATGCAAGGCTGGTTAAAGATATGCAAAACCATAAACATAATATACCATATTAACAGAAAGAAAGATTAAAACACAGGATCATTTAATCAGTGCAGGAAAAGCTTTTGACAAAATACAATTCGTTCATGTTTAAGACCCTCAGCAAAATCAGCATAGAAGGATCATTTCTCAGCATAATAAAAGCCATCTGTGGAAAACCTATAGCTAACATTATACTGAATGTGAAAGCTGAAAGCTTTTCCACCAAAAACTGGTACAAAGTAAGGCTGTCCACTTTCTCTACTCCTTTTCAATATAGTGATGAAAGTCCTAGTCAATGCAATCAGACAGGAGAATGAAATAAAAGGAATTCAAATAGAGAAAGAGGAGTTGAAATTATCTCTATTTGCAGATGACATGATTGTATACATAAAAGACCCAAAGGTATCCATGAAAATGCTTCTCTGTGTAATAAGTGAATACAGTAAAGTGGCAGAATACAAAATCAACTTACAAAAATCTATAGCATTTCTATATACAAACAAGCAGTCAGAGGAAGAACCGTAAAACGTAATCTCAATTACCATAGCCACAAAAAGTATAAGATGCCTAGAAATAAATATAACCAAGGAAGTCAAAGACCTCTACAAAGAAAATGATGACAATATTTTTAGAAGAACTTGAAAAAGACACAAAAAAAGTGGAAGGATATCTCTTGTTCTGGATTTGAAGAATTTATATTATCAGAATGGCAATTCTACCCCAAGTTATCTACATATTTAATGAAATCCCTATAAAATTGCAAGAGACATTATTCACAGATCTAGAAAAGACAACCATAGAACTGGTCTGGAATCATAAAAGAAACTGTATTACCAAAGCAATCTTACACAAGAAGAGTGAAGTGGGCTGTGTCTCACTCCTAGACCCCAAAATATATTACAAAGCTGTGGTAATCAAAATAGCATGGTATTGGCACAAAACCAGATATGTGGACCAATGGAACAGAATGGAGATACCCAAAATAAACCCCAAAAAACACATCCAACTGATTTTTGACAATGGGTGCCAGTCCAGTCCAGCAGGAAAAAGAAAACCTCTTTAGAAATAGTGCTGGAAAAACTGGGTATCCACCTGCAGAAAGATGAATCTGAACCCCTATCTCTCACCATTAGCAAAAACCAACTCAAAGTGGATCAAAGATTTAAACCTAAGACCTCAAATTATAAAATTACTGATGGAAAACACTGGAAAAACTCTGGGAGACATTAGGGTAAGCAAAATCTTCAGTAAGACCACTGAAGTACAGGAAATAATCTCAATAACAGACAAGTATGATTACATCAGAATAAGAAGTTTCTACAGAGTAAAAGACATAGTAATTAGTGTGAATAGACAACCTTCAAAATGGGAAAAGATTTTTGTACACTATACCCCTGATAAGGGACTGATAACCAGAACAAACAGGGACCTCATGCAGCTTATCTGAAAAATAAAAATGATTAACCCAATTAAAAGATGAGAAAAGGAGCTAAATAAACAACTCTCTAAGGAAGACATATGAATAGCCAAAAAGCACATGAAAAAATGCTCAACATCCCTCATGATAAGGGAGATACAGATCAAAACCACAATGAGATATCATCTAACCCCAGTCTGAATGGTGAAGATTTTTTAGAAAAAGATAACTGCTGTTAGGGATGTGGTGAGGATTGGAAAAGGCACATATACTCTATGAAATACTACTCCACCATAAAAAAAAAAAAACCAAGACCTTGCATTTGATAGAAAGTGAATGAATATGGAAGATTTACTGCTAAGTGAAGCAAGCCAGGCTATGAGAGAGAGTGTATGCCTCCCCTTAACATATGCTGTCTGCACTCTATGGTAGAAACTGAAAGATTAGAGGACATAGAAGCATTGTAAATGGTTATAGTTACTGGAGAAGAGGGTGAGAAAAGGGGGAGAGTGCAAGGAAAA